TGTCAGATCACATGCAGTCCTTTATCCGATGAGAGCCACTTGTCATACTTAGTCATAAGAAAATATAACTACTCCCTCCAAGATTCAAATTTCAAAACACTCACTTCGACCCTTCTTCTAAATCTCGGTCGAAGACCATCTCGCCTGCTTAGGTCGAAGCATTCAATTTCAAGACTTTAATTTCCTAAGTCCTTGGAAGACTTGTAGATTTTTTAATATGCTGAAAATAGCCTCCAACATGAGTCGTCGAATTGATGCGCCAACACGTTCATAAATGATTTCAGTCGAAACCTGTGGACTTACCTGATCAAGAAGAAAAGTGAAGTGATTTAGGTATTTGCCAAATTTAAATCTATGGTCGAAAGCTAAAGATTCGGAGGACTGATGGTGGTGGAGAGTATGTGTCAAAAGATTTTGATGTATTATGTGATAAAGAAGGGATTGTGCATGAGGTGGTAGCACCCTACACTCCATAACAGAATAGAACTGCAAAAAGGAAGAATATAACCATTATGAATATGGTGAGAAGTATATTGAAAGGAAAGCATCTATCCAAAGAATTATGGGGAGAAGTTGTGTCAACAACAATATACATCTTAAATAGATGTTCGACGAAGAAGCTAGAAGGAATCACGCCAGAAGAATGTTGGTCTGATGTCACGCCTAGCCTAAGTCATTTAAAGGTGTTTGGATCTATTGCACATAAACACGTGCCAGATCAGTTGAGAAGAAAGCTTGATGACAAGTAGAGTTAAATGATCCTAATAGGATATCATTCGATTGGAGGATACAAGTCGTTTGATCCAGTGAACAAGTAAGTAGTGATTAGAAGGGAAATGATCATAGATGAGCTTAAGGAATGGGATTGGACTTAAAATGTTAAGAAGGATTCAGGAATGGGATTGGACTTATCGTATCTTGTTTGTAATATCACATGATTGTATTATATTCAATACAACATAACATCATCACATGAATCCAAGGTAATCAACCATTACACCATTAGCCAACATACAAACCTAATCAACTATAACCTATTTCGTCATTGTTGTTACAACAAATGCAATGAACACTACAAATAAAAAAATCCAGGTAATCTTCAACTGTTTCTTCAGGATCTTCACCTTCAACTTCATTTCGTCCTCCTTGGCTTTGTAGGTTTTAACTATCTCATTCTCCTCATTCAAGTTCTTTATTAGTGAATAAATTTTTTGTTTTGCCATAGGATCCATCTCCTCATACAACCAAGCAAAGTGAGAACATTTTTTGTATCCTTGAATCTTATACATCCCACACTTGCATACCTACCTTGAACGACTTGAGGACCTGCTTCCATGGCTACAACCGGACTGCTGAGATATTTTAATGGAATAATTTGATGGAAACTTGAAGAAACTGGGTGAGAAGAAGACGAACATTGAATGGGGGAAAAAAGACGTAAAATAATTCAAAAGGATCAAGAACGCAAGATATGATAAACAAAAACAACAACAAATTATGAAGTTTTGAGAATATTAATCAACAATAATAACATACAATATACAATAACACAAGATATCATGTAATGTTTCAAGATACACTTTTTTTAAAAAATTAATCGTGGATGTCGAACAAATTATGAAGTTCATCTTGTTTAGGAAGCTATGAAGAAGAAATATAAGGTGTATAAAGTTTACACAATAACTTCACACTTCTTGTATTTCTCTTCATAGCTACACAAACCATATATATCATAGCCAAAGTATGCGCTTTGTTAGGTGGTGAAGACGAATCTGAAAAAATGAGAACATTCACCAAATGAAAAAATGAGAACCCATTTTTAACAAGAAACGTAAACAAAATCGAAGCATAAAGTTTAATGAATGAACCTCAAGTTAGAGATTGGTGAAAACGAATCTAAAGATGTATCTGAAGGTTGAAGTATGTTTAAAGAGTGACATAGATGTTAGGGTTATGTTATGAGAGAGAGAAGAGCGAAATATGTTAAGGTTTTCTTTTGAGAGAAACAACTGTTATGTACTGAACGATAGATACTTTCGCTTATATACTAAAAATATCACTTTTCATCACTGTTAGAAAGAAAAACTGTGATGCAATTTTCAAATTTTACAATGGTTGTATTGTAAAATCGTGGTTAAATAACTTGGTTAAATAACTTTCAAATTTTACAACAGTTGGTTTACTTCATCGTTGTAAAATCATTTACAATTTATTTTTAAATAATGGACTTAAGTAACACTCGCTTAATGTACTATAAAAAATGGAAAAAATATAGTTGATGGGAATTGAATCTTGCTACACATCATTTATTACTACAGTGTTTCAAGACAATCGTCATTAAATTACTGTTTATAAATTCAGCTACTCACTGGGTGCAAAAATTGAATCCGTTGTAAACCTGAAGTTGTTATTTGCGCGTTTTGTAGTAGTGTTTGTTTATGATATAAAACAAAAAAGTTAGATAATTAAAATAAATATTTAGTTATATGATTATTTAAGAATACAAACCTTACATCCAATTTGTGATAAGTTATCTATTCCTAACATGTAATTTTTTGCTGCACTTGCAATCAATCCTAGAGATATGTTCGAAGATTTAATTATTTTGAGCAAATTTTTTCATTACAAATGCTTTCACAAGAAAGAGAACAAGATACATGTGCTTGCAACTTATAGCATGTTTAGGAATAAAATTTTCAATGTTGTCAATCGAGGAAAGTAATAAATTATGGAGTGTTTTCTTTGATTGACGATATAGGAAGATTATTCCAAAAATACAACAACAACATCAACACCATTATGTTGTGATGAATTGCAAGAGCAGAAAAAATATTTTGATCAAGATAGAAGAACATTGAAGATTTTTTCTGTCTTGCAATCCAACACAAAATATGATGCGTACAAGTCTGGAGCGATTATATATAAATTAGGTTCAGGGTAAAATCTAATTAGCTACTGTTTTTATAGTAAAATTGAATTATCTAATTCCTTAGTTATTAAAGATAATCGAAGGAATAAATCATTAATTTAAAAATAAAAAATAAAATAAAAAGAAAGACACCACTTTTAAGGAAATAAAAATATAAACGGCTGTTGCTGGGGTTGAAGTATGTCCTGAATTATTTTTCCTCTCGATTATATTTAGAAAGTGAAGAAATATGTGGTACTTATATAAAAAAATAAATAAAACATGACGCATCTTGTCATTATAGCTCAGTTTTTGTTGGGTGAGGTGAAAACTTTGTCATGAAATGTATTATTTGTAGTATTGTATTATTATGGGAGATGATGATCTTTTCTAAAAATTGAGAAGTGAGTCTCATAACATTTCCGCTGCCATGGAAAATGATGAGTTGTTACTAGCGAATAAACACATGAGCATTGATGTAAAATGTGTTGTGAGATTATGTCAGTGGTTGAAGAGGTTCCCGCAAATAAAAAAGTTGCACCATAAGTTCTCAACCTTATTTTTAATATGTGAAAATTTTTAGAGTGATTTATCTTAAGTGAGGTATATTATTCTTTTGGTAGAATATACTAGTTTTTGAATTATGATTGTCAGGTGAAGATAATATGAAATTTTTGAAATGATGTAACTTTAAAGTAACTATATTCTTAAGAGTAAGAATGATAATTCTTTTGAACTATGATTGTCGGTAAATATAATGAAAGTTGATATATTATTTTTAATTAAGATAAAGATTATTGGTGTTGGTTGAAAATATACATATTTAAATTTTTTTATATATTGTTTAATTTTGTGAAAGAAAAGAGAATTCAACGCTAACCGATTTAAAATTTTCATTATGGACCAATCAAAATCACTTAAATCATGTATTTGATTTTTTTTTTGTAAAGGATAATTAAATATTTATTTTGTAAAGTGTATGTATATAGAAGCATTGACGTGATTGAGAAGTCTATATATTAAATAATTTTTACATAATGTTCTTTTTTTACTATTATTTGACAATAATTTTTCAGTTTAATTTTTTGTGTTGTTATGCATTCTAATATGTAACATTATTCAAATGTTAAATGCATATATAGTTTGATCTGTATATATATTTAGTTACTTACTTTATAAGAGAATAGGTAGAAGTATATAAAAACAGAATTCTTCGTTGTCAGTCACATCTATTTTATTGATATATTAGTATTTTGATCCGCATATACTTTATCATATCGTAACTCTGACCGCTTCTTAGACAAAAATAAAACGGGTCCTCCTCCTCTTACTCCAAAACTTCATTTTTTTCAAACAAGATAAAGTCTGCTATAACAATGTAAAAATAAAATTCAGAAATTTATATGATTATATTTATTAGAGTAATATATTAAAATAAATTACTACAGAGGAAAAAGAAGTCCAGTTAGTAGTTCGGTAAGTTCCACCGCATCCATCCAAACACTGAAAAAGAAACAAACTGTGCAGTCCTATTGGCTTCTTTAATCATTAACCGTTTCTGACTCCTTCTTTAGAATCATTGCTTTCATACTTCACGCTTAAAACAACAACATGAACTCAACAAACAAACCAATACAAACACAAAATAACTCAATAATGAAGAAAGAGATAATAACCCATTTATTTCTATTTTTTTTTATTTATCAGAAGAAAAAAACTAGCAGTAAAGAGTAACAGAAGCAAAGAGTTAAAATAGAATTGCAGAACTTTAGTACTTTTAAAGGCAAATTTGTAGGTCCACAGAAAAACCAAATCTCAAATTCCCATTGCAAAAGTATGAAGAATTCTAGTACTATCAATCAAGTAAGAACCATGTTGGCTAGTACATACAATGAAGAAACTTCAACTGTTTTTACTACCAATTCATCATGTAACTGAATAACACATAGCAGAGCAGTTGGTGAAAATCATAACTAATACGCATCTACCATTATAGAATCAAAAAGCATTTGATCTTAAAATTAAAACCATTTACCCAATTCCAACAAATTAAAAAGTACTAATAATTAACCAATATTAAATAGCCACACAATTAGGCTTCTGAAACAACGCTAAGATCGTCGTCTTCTTCGAGCGGAGCTGGCAAATTGAGATCTATGAAACTCTCTTTGAATCTAGCCGGAAGATTAACATTAACTGCGGAATTAGATGATGAAGGAATCAAATGAGATCTCTTGTGACCACCGAGTGCTTGACCGGAACCAAACACCTTAAAGCAAAACGGACATTCGAAAATCTTGTCATAGTTACTGTTATCATTTGTTATTCCGTCGCGACAACAAACACTTCTATGACTTCCCAATGCTCGTGAAGACCGAAACATTTTCCTACAATTTTCACATAAATGCTTCCCACGAACTCGTTTCAGCAAATTTGCTTTCGGTATTTTCTCCACGGATCCCTCTTCTTCTTGTTCTTCCACCACATTGTTGACGTTGTTCTTCCTGCTCCATTTGTCTCTTGACAGCATCATGAGACACATAGCTACGTCTTCTTCAGGAGAAGTATCAGAAACTGAACTCACAGGCTCAACAGGTTCAACAGGTTCAGTATCATTGAATGCTGACAGAGTTGTTCTCAGAGTGAAACTCATCTTCGGTTTCTTCAATTCAAAATTCTCGTTGTTGTTGTTGTTGCTGATGTTGCTGCTGTGTTTTCTGATTCGTTTGGATCGTTGTTGACGAATCGGATTGTTCTTTGACTCAGTCTCACTTTCTCTATCTTGAACAATAACAGACTCAGTTTGATCAGGCTTGAAAGAAAATCCAGGATCTGCAGTTTTCAGACTCTTCTTTGGATTCTCTCTCAAACCATAACTAACCAAAGTCCTTTCTTCTTCGTGCTCTTCTTCTTGTTCCGATTCCGACGAAGAGCTCGAGAACAAAACAGTTTGTTGTTTCTGAGACTTAGCTATGGCAAGATGAGCCTTCATGTGTCCACCAAGTGCTCTTCCATTGCTAAACGTCCTTGAACATAGCTTGCATTTGTGTCTTTCCATTATCACCAACTTCAACAATTTCAGTTTCTCTTACTTCTTTGTTTCTTATTCTCTCTTTTCTCTCTCAACAAACAAACATACTAGTAGTAAGTTTTAAGGGCAAAAAATTGAGAACTTAAAAGGAGTAGGTAACAAGCATTCTTCCACCAAAAGACACACACCACCCCATAAATTATCTTTTTATTATAATATTATTATTATCTACGACAAATAAAAAAATATTAAAAAATAGATTCTCAACCGTCAAATAGTAACTACAAAGATCTCATCCATTAAAATTTTATCTTTTAATTTATATAAATTTTAAATTTTAAATCCAAACCGTCTGATTTCAATCTAAGGGTGGAAAATTAAGTTGCCTAAGAAACACATATTGTAACAGTGACATTAATTATAGAGCGGCAAAAATTTAGAAAGTGTGATCTTGAACAGAAAAAGAGCTATAAGTAACATGCAAACCTTGCTGCTCAAATGGAATAACCTTTTTCTATTTATTGCTTTCTGGCTTCTCTTAACTGGCATTGCAAAATTTAAATTTGTAAATAATTTTTCATTTTTCGATTTCATGTAAATTTATTTTTTTCGGATTTTTATTTGTATATATCTAAATTACCCTATTGGGCAAAGTTCACATATACGCGTTTGCTTGAAAGATGAAATAACTACTTAAAAAACTGAATATGGGGCCATGGAATATATTCATTGAAATTGGAATACAAGAGTGATAAAGATAATAGATGATTATTTTGTTGTGATGTGCAACTCACTAATTGTGAATGATTGTGGGTTTTATTAGATTTTGATTTCAAATTGTAAAGAAAATGGTGAGAATTATTATTCATTATAGAAATTTGAGATAACTTGGGGATTAGAAATATTCTCACAATACGAGAGAAAATTGCTGATAATTACAAGAAGACTTTTCGTTGTTGAAATATTAGAATAAGACTTTATTAGTAATTGGTTAGTAAAAAATGAAGGGGACAAAAGTTATGATTTATGGATGTAAATAATAAAGAGTACTAAAATAAAAGTTGAAACAGAGGTACTATATATGGTAGAAAATTTGTAGAATGTCGTATACTATGGTTTGAACAAATGTGACAAACCTTGGGCTTGGAAGTGGTTGTAAAATTTGAGAGTGGAGAATTCACCAAAAGGAAAGAAAAGAAAATCGATGGTGGTGAGTAATCAAATCCTTGTTAGGTGCAAATGAAGACTAATGTAAGTTATTAGTCAAACAATTAAAAGAGATTTAAACTCTAAAGAGTGTTTCGCTAGCATTCATCATAAAAAGTTTAAACTCTCTAAGTTATTAGTCAAACAATTAAAAGAGATTGTCATTATCAACCTCATTGAAGATTTACAATGAAATTTAATTATAACATGTAAATTTAACACTTTTAAAATAACACTCAAATTATAGTTGTGTGAGCATTAAACAACTAACAACCAAGTTTTAATCTATTAAGTGATGTTGATTACATGGATGAATTTTTCTCTATAATGTTCTATCTATGATTATACTTTTATTTAAATAGTTATTCTCAATATCTTTTTTAATAAATTATTTTATAGTTTTTTTAAATATTTTTTTTATTCTAGTTGTTTGACTTCTCTCTATTTGATATAATCTTCTTACAACATAATCTACAACTCTTCTCTTAACATATGCCCTAATCACCTAAGTCTACTTTCACTATCTTTTCTACTATAATTACTACACCAACACTCTAATATTGTCATTTCTAATCTTATCATGTCTAGTCTTATCACATATCCAATACAGAATCTTCATATATGCTACACTTAATTTATCCTCGTGTTAATTCTTAACCATCCAACATTTTGTCTTGAAGAACATCGCATGTCTTATCAGAGTTTGATAAAATTTCCTCTTTAGCATAAACAGTACCTTTGTGTCACATAAAACTCATGAAAACCTCATCCATTTTAGCCACCCAGTTTGAATTCGATAATTTACACCCCCTTTTATTTCTCCATCATTTTGTATTATAGATCCAATATATTTTAACCGTGTGACTTGTGGGGTGATATGTTCTCAAACTTTCATCTCTAGGTTAGAAATAATTTTCTTTGTGTTGATCAACTTACATTTGCTTAGAAGAAAGTCATACGTTTCTAAAACTCATCTCCAAGTCTCAATTTCTCATTGAAATCCTTCTCCGACTCTCCAAGTAGGACTATATCATATGCAAAAAAGCATACATCTCTATGTTATCTCTTGAAAGTGTTCTACGAGTACATTCAAAATTAAAGTAAAAGGCAGGGGTTAAGGTTGACCTTTGATGCAAACCAAATTTAATGGAGAAATCGTATTTCTCTTTACCCTATGTTTGCACACTAGTCAATACTTCTTCATAAATAGCTTGGATATCTTGAATATACGCAACCCTAACCATTTCTTTTCTTCCACAAAATCTCTATAGGCACTCTATCATACGTTTTTTTTAAGTCAATAGAAATAAAATGCAAGTCTTGTTGGTCCATCTGATACTACACTATCACACGCTGTACTGGATATATCACTTCTTTGGTCGACCTCCCAGACATAAAACCAAATTGATTATCAGTCACTTGAATTTGTTTTCTTAGTCTCCATTCAATCACTCTTTTCGATAACTTCATGGTATGACCCATAAGTTTAACTCCACTATAGTTTGCATAAATTTGTATATCTCTCTTGTTCTTATAGATTGGAACTAAAGTGCTTCTTCTCCATTCATATGAATAACACAAATATAAAATTCATAGAAATGTTATTTGGGCATTAACTTTAAAAAAATAAAATTTAACAATTTTTTACATGATTGACACAATGCATACACTATTAGTGTGTTAAATGTGAGTTGAAAATCATGTTGAGAAATTTGGAGAAGGCAAAAGTAACAAAGAGATCAATACTCCATTATCACAAGAGGAAGACGTTACATCTCAACCTAAAAATTTTAAGGCATTATAAATGTGAGTCATATCTTTTATAAATTCAACAGTTTTCCTTATCATAGTTGTTGAACTTATTCACTCATATTTGAACTCAACAATCTCTCTAACAATTACGAGTCTTCCACATCCTATAACTATATCCAAAATGGATTTCATGTCTCATTTTTATTTACTAATCTAAACTCGACTCTGATATCACTTGTTGGAGGGTCCAAGAAAGAAAAAAAACAACAACTCACAATTGTTCCAACATCACTAGAGAGAATGACATCACATCTTCATTTTAGTGGTAAAAGATTTTATGTTTGACCTTATAAGTTGTATCTTATTAATTATTTTAATAAAAATATTTTATTAATAGTGTTTGCTTCAAAGTAATAAAGTATATATAATATTTAATTTGTTTAATGAAATATTAAGTATGACTTAAATGTGAGACATTATTAAATATAAGGATGCTATTATTGAAATATATGTAATTAAGCTTTACTACAATATAGGACAACAATAATGAGCATAGACTATTATGTGAGTAACATGATAACCGTATCTCACGGGTCCTGAATATTATATATATATATATATATATATATATATATATATATATATATATATATATATATATATATATATATATATATATATATATATATATATATATATATATATATATATATATATATATATATATATATATATATATATATATATATATATATATATATATATATATATATATATATATATATATATATATTAAGAGTAATATTTATATTGGATTGATCCATCATTTGAATACTACATAGTGTGTTGTGTAAGTGTCATAAGTCATTCTTATGGTGACATTGGCATATGACACTCTTTGACATGACACTCTTTAATGTGACACTCTTTGATGTGAAAGAACTATGGTTTCTACATGAGGAGTTGATTGCTTTAGTACTGTTAAACATTATTTGTTTAGTGTTTGTGGATCCGGCGAAACAACATCATTTTTAACAATAATGTAGTGGAAAAGGGAATAGAAGAAACTGTTTACTTCATAAAACTTATTTTGTGGAATTGGATTTTAATAGGTTTGAAGAGTAGATCGGTTTTGTATTTTTATAATTGGTGGAGAAATCATGTAGACTATCTCAAATTATAATAACTTTGTAAGTCGTTCGAGCACAGTTTGTGATCCTTTTCAATCTAATTGCTTATTGAAAAAAACAAGATAATTATAAAGTGGGATAACTAGGTACTCCACGAGTCATGTAGAAGGGCAAAAGTGACCTGAATGAATTTTTCACAACTACATATGAAGCAATAATATCTATGATCCCCTTGTCGAGTATGGCTATAAAATGCACGATCGTGTTAAAAAAAGTCAATATGTACTATTCAACTTCTTTGTTGTTACTAAATATACTCAAGTGTCAAAGAATATGATATTGAGCTATCCAAGAGATACACGAACTATGTCTTGTGTTCAATACAAATATAAGGATAAAAAGATAATTACACATATGATCATTATCACTAAAAGGTTATGTCAGATCAAATGACATTCTCGTCACTTTGGTAGCATCAATGTCTTGCTAGACACCACTCTTTTTTTTATAATATTAAATAGGTGATTTAATATTATTGTCAACAACACGAGAACCTAAAAGGTCACAAACATAAGAACAAATATACTAGAGATTAAATAAATGGTTAATATTCATTTATGATTAAGTTATGCTTGTTGTGATATAATCCAAGTTGTGTAATCCAAATCCAAAGTTAATTAGGGTTTAGAGTTTGTTACTTAGTATACAAGTTTGTTGTATATAAATAGACATATTTTATAATTTAATTTGTACAATCATAATTCAATAATATCAATCCTTATTTTCATTCTTTCTCTCCTTACTAAAAGTGTCTCATGCAATAACAAATTAGTATCTAGAGCTTTGGTTTGATTCTTGATAGCGTTTTCAAGAATCACACGTCGGTGACCCTACTACGGAAAATCCATTTAACAACGGTTGAGAAAGATATATAATCAC